GTCCAAGCAATTTCCGTGGAAAAAAGGTTCCAGATCGGAAAGAGCTAAGTTCCGTGTTTGAATAATTTATTGTATTATTCCATATATCTAAACAATGATCTACGATTTTTTGTTTTCTCTTTCTCTGTCTCTAGCAGGCAGAGAAATGATAAAATTAGGATTTTCGTGGACTCTCTCATATGCCTGATTCACGCCATAGCATAGTGGCAAGCGACGAATTAGAAATGATAATTCGTAGGTTCCATTACAGGTAATATTTTGCTTCATTAGGTTATGCTTAACTATCTATAGGTACTGAAAAACAACTAGCAGCTGGCGCCTAATAAATTTCTATTTCACTCCTAGTACAGTATGTGTGACTACCTACATACATACAATTAAAATCTGTACCTATACATATAAGGCGACCGTTACTGACTGACTGATCTATCAACGAACAGCTCAAACCACTGAGCGGGATTGCGCTGAAACTTAGAACACATATATGTAGCTTTTATGATATAGGAGTGCGCTGAGAAAGGATTTTTTAAAAGTCACCCCCTAAATCGGTGTTTTAAAGTTTGTATCTTAAGTTAATGCGGACGAAATCGCGGGCGGCCGCTAGTTTATCCAAAATAACCAAAAGTTGGTGGTTATAATGTATTGTGTTTGGACAGAATTGTCACAGGATCAAAGCGAGCGTGGTACCATACAAGATCTCTTTCAAAGATCTCTAGTACTAGTAGGTATCTACTAAAATTAAGTTAATGTAAGTCGCCAAATAAAAAGTGTCTGCGTACTATATAATATCGTATACTTGCATTTTTTATAAAATGTCGCTTTTTTATCATTATATTTTTACAATCCACATTATCTTTCTCGGATACCTAGAAATATAATGTGGCTTGTAGAAAGATGCAGTTAAGACAAATTTATATATTATATAATTTAAATATCAAATTAAATGTTATTTACAGGCTCAACTTTGCTAATTATTAAAAGCGTAGCGCATAACATAGTTAAACACTTACTACGGGCAAAGTTCCCGAAGACCGTACAAGCGGCCAATTAAAAGTTAAATGTCTAATTCTTGTCAGAAGCGGGAAGTCCGCAACCAACTAACTACTAAATTGGAAGTTCTGTTACGTGTATAATAGGTGCGGCTAGGATGGCCCCCGGTTTAGATCCTAAGGATATAGGTAACTTAAAGGGATGAAGTAAGAACTTGCCTCTGTAAGAGGACTTTATACGTTTCTGTCACACAAAAAGAAATTATTGAAATTATCATTGGACACCGTACAGTTGAACTGTCACTGAAAACTGGTACATCTATTGTGAATATAGCTCTATCACAAATTGTTTATTGACAGAGAATGGACCATACCCCCAACGCAGTTCCTCTAAGTTATTACTTCTCGGGAGGAGCTCAATGGAGAAGGTGGATAGCTCATTGGGCCTGCGATCGTGCAAGTTAAGCACGTTTCGCAATGGTAGGTGACCAAAACTTATTATCTCGAGCTCCTCCGTGCTTCGGAAGGCACGTTAAGCCGTTGGTCCCGACTGCACCTGCAGAACTTCAGATCCATTGTCTGAGGTTGCAGATAAGCATGATCCTATTCACTGTCATGTAGTACTTAAAAGCAAAAACCCTAGGCCACTACTACTTTCATCACAAGGACCAAATGACTGGAATAAATGGTATAGACAGATGAGCTGCATTGCGCAGGTGGATAGTACTTCGGTCTGCGATAGTTGAATTTAAGCAGTTTTCGCTAGGGTCTGTCATTAGATGTGTGATCAAAAACTAAGGTACTATCTCGAGCTCTTTCGTGATTTGGAAGTCACGTTAAGATGTTGGTCCCGGCAGCATACCGCACCGCATCCCGGCGGCTGTCAGAACCCACCGCCGCCGCGCCGGACGGAGTCGCGTGGTGGATCATTATCATGGCCAAATATCCCTATTCCTTTTATAAGGATTATAAAGATTACTGTAACCCAAAGCTGACATAGTAGTTAGTTACTCCGATAACTTGACCTGTGGCTGTCTGTATCTACCTAGCCAGTCAGTGCCGTCTTTGAGGTCAAAGGAGGCCCTGGGCATATTAGGATGATGGGGACCCTACGACCCCCGTTTGGTGATTTAACAGGAACTAGGGACTTTGTATTTGATCTGAGGGGGTTCTCTTTGGTTCGCTGGGCCCTGGGCACTTGCCCAAAGTGCCCACTGGGAAAGAGGGCTCTGTAGCTAGTTGATCCTTCATGCAAAGCTGTTAGTTGTTGAAATGATCAACATTATTTGCATTATTATTATAGATATGATTGTAATAGTGATTTTAAGCCTTGGTTAGACAAGAAATAAATATTATTGACATTGTACTCAGAAACGTAGATTTAATTTAATGCTTCATTAAATTACGTTTGTCTCTTACTATACCTACCTAGTTATCGCAAATAAAGTAAAGAAACAATTTAGTCAAAACTTAAACAAAAAATTACGTTCGTTAAAGTATTTAAATATATATAAAGATATGATACAATACATTAATTAAAAAAAACATTTTTCTCAAATCTCATTTAAATTATTTTATCCGTACAGTATAAACATATCAGTGATACAAAATAAAAAAAAAACGAGTGTGCTTATGACCAGACGACTGAAGTTGAAGACTTAACCTGAAGATAATTATGTTCATAGAAAAGAAACCACCAATCCGCGCTGGGTCCTTTATCATCCACCAATACGCACTAGGTCCGTTATTACCCACCAATCCGCGCTGGTCCGTTATCACCCACCAATCCCCGCTGGGTCCCTTGTCATCCACCAATCCGCACTGGGTCCGTTATCATCCACCAATCCGCACTGGGACCGTTATCACCCACCAATCTGCACTGGATCCATTGTCACCCACCAATCCGCGCTGGGTCCGTTATCACCCACCAATCCGCACTGGGTCCATTATCACCCACCAATCCGCGCTGGGTCCGTTATCACCCACCAATCCGCGCTGGGTCCATTATCACCCACCAATCCACGCAGGGCCCGTTATCACCTACCAATCTGCACTGGGTCCGTTATCACCCATCAATCCTCTCTGGGTGCGTTATCACCCACCAAGCACTACATTCATGTATTTTGTAACGGGTATAGTTCATTGTTTACCGATGAGTCATATACTAATCAACGCCGTCATGATACTAATCGTAACGCCAAAATCGTAACACATTTGCCAGTTTGCCACCCAAGTCAAGCGTGCCTAAAAAAGTTTCACTTCAAAAAAACAATACACAGGGTAAAGTTTAATTTATTTTTATTTTAAGTACCTAAGAGTATTTAAATAATCAGAGGGTAACTACACACATCAAAAGTGTCTAGGGATCAAGCATTTTTATGCGGATTTCTTGAGATTGAGATGTGGCTTTGTAATAAATTTATGATTTTATAAATTTATATGGATCCTTTTTGGTGCATTTCATAATTTGAATCAGGAACTGTGAATCAAATTCGAGTAAAAGATGAAAATCAGCTGTCAATATTTTCCCTATAAAAACATACAACGCATTGAAGACATTATTAGTGCTACTGTTTCCCTACTACTGATTAAAACCAACGTTATTATGGAGCGGCGACGTCATTTAAGCAGGGAAGAAATGCTCAGAGCCGTGGGAATGATAGAAGCTGGTTCCCGGCAACGTACTGTGGCTTTAGCTCTGAATACAAGTCAGAGTGTTATCAGTCGACTTTGGACACGATACCGAAGCACTGGTACCGTGGCTGAGCGCCATGGAGGACGGTATCGCTGCACCACACGGAGACAAGACCGATACATTCAAATCTTAACTCGAAGAGCTCCAACAATAACCGCCATGATGTTAGCCGTGAGGCTTCATCACTCTTCAGGGAACTTAATTAGCGACCAAACAGTCAGAAACCGCTTGCATGAAGTGAACCTTCATTCCCGAAGACCGCTACGGGTACCACCTATAGCAATACACAATCGTAGGATTCGATATCAATGGGCTCTTGAACACAGAAATTGGGCAGAAGAACAATGGCGTTTCGTGTGCTTTTCTGATGAGTCTCGTTTTGGTATGAGACCGGATACAAGACGTATACGACACTGGAGAACCCCTGGACGCCAACAGCGATTAAAATCCTGCCAGGAAGTCCATCCTTATAGTGGTGGAACCATCATGGTATGGGCGGGTATTTGGATCGGCGGAAGAACTGAGTTGATTTGGATCAGAGGCAACCTCAACGCTCAAATTTATGCTGAGACGATTGTATCAGACGTCATCGTTCCTCTACAAGTGCAAATCGGTCCCTTATTTCAGTTAATGCATGATAATGCACGACCGCACACCGCAAGAGTTGTAAGACAGACTCTCGCCGCAGCTAACATCAATGTCCTGCCCTGGCCTGCTCAGTCGCCAGACTTGAACCCGATTGAGCATGCATGGGATATGCTACAGAGAAGAGCTCTGCCGAATATGGAGGGTATCCAGTCGCAAGAAGACCTTTTTTTGTTGTTGCAACGAACATGGGCATCCATTCCACAGCGTGATTTGGATGAACTCATTTTGAGTATGCCAAACCGATGTTCTTGTGTTGTTAGTGTTCGCGGTAGAAATACGGATTATTAATTGTTTAAGTTACCCAATAAAATTTTAGAGAAAACTGTTATTTCAGTCTTTTTTTCGAACTTTTGTGTTAGTGGTTCAAATGTCAAAAATCCCTTTATTAGGAAAATGGCAAATTTCTTTATTAATGCAAAGGTGACTTGGTTTATCGTTACTGTGACAAACGAAAACACTTTATTTGATGAATCCTTAAAGAAAATTTTAATTAATATCAATCAGGAGAAAAGTTATTGCAAAAATATATGTTGATCCCTAGACACTTTTGATGTGTGTATATGCGCTAAGGAGGATAAGCACTACAGTTAAGCTTTAAACGATAGACGAAGGATTTGGGTGTCCTGCTTGAAACGGAACGCAATTTAAAAAGTTAAACGAAAAGTCACGCACCCCCGCCGTGTTTTGACGTTTGAGATCAGAGATAGTTTTGGCAAGTTTTATTTGTGATTTGTGTATTATCCTTTCGTAAAGTTCCTAAATTGTGAAATGAATCCACCAACGGAATTAAGTTTTGATGAGATATTAAAATTTATGTTAGCTCACAACGGCAAAGTTACAAACCATGAGTTAGTTAAACATTTCAAAGTGTTCCTTACTAATCCAGATATGAGAGGTGAGTAATGTTTTCTTACTATTGACATTGACTAATCGATCACACAATTATTTAAGTACCTGCTGTCTTAGATAAAAGGTCTTATTTAGGTAGGCACTAGAAAGACTATAATATTTGAAGGTATGAAACACTCATATTTCATACACCTATCTCAAACTCTAGGCTAGCTTTTGGAAAGGACTTACATACTAGGCGACAGATTGTCACACCACAAAACTATAACACAAAGTAGGTACCTAATATATATATAGACGAAATCCTATCTTGTATTTATGAATTATGGTAGCTACTTAATGTCTCAGATGATGATGCATTATGATGTTATTTACTTTTTTCATTTGCAGTGCTTCCTTTCAGTGGTTTTGTCCATTTTGAATCTGGTTTTAAATTTGATTAACTTCTCATTTCTATATTTAATTTCATAGATGAAGCTAGAAACACATTCAAGAAACACGTGAACACTTTAGCCAATATAAAAAATCAAAACAATGAAAAATTGTTAATATTGAAGAAAAAGTACATGAATAGTGCAAATAAAGAAAATGAAGATGTGGTTGAAAGTAAGATACCAGATGTGCCAAGTGATAGCACTTTGGCATCTCCTTTACCTAATGTTGATACCCAACCACCTTATCGGCCACCACCACCAGTGCAGCTCAACCAAGATTTCAGTATACTCACAAACTTGATACAAGATCAGCAAGTGAATACACCAATACCAATATCTTCGCCTATTAATACAACACCTGCTGAATCCAATGAAAATCTCACATCGCCTATTGAAGATACTCCTCCAAAAGTACATCCCAGAAAAAAGTCCTTAGATAAAAGTGCTTTTGAAAAACAATCATTAGGGTCTGCTGGCCAGAGAACTTCAATCCCGAATGAGACTTCATCAGAGATGGATGATACATTATCAATACCGTTAACAACCTCACGGAGTGAGAGCATGCTGGTCGACAATGAACAAAAGATTTCTGTTAAAGAGAGGAAGCAAATGTTCAACCGAATGGCTTCAGAGAGTGATGTCTTAAGAACAAAGCGACAAGGCAATTTTAATACACAGGTAAAGTACAAAATATCTTATTTTATGATCAATCTAACAGATCCCTGTGCTGAATCGCTACATATTTAAATTTGTTTTTGACTTTTCAATAAATTTTAGGTTGTGCAAATGTGTTCTTAATTAATTTATGCTTTTTAATGACATAACATATTTGCAAAAACATGTTTTTTTAGGGTTCCACACCCAAAGGGTGAATGGGTCCCTTTTGGGTGGGTCTCTCTGTCTGTCACCAGACTGTGTCTCATAAACTGTGATAGCTAGACAGTTGAAATTTTTGCAGATGGTGTATTTCTGTTGCCGCTATAACAACAAATACTAAGAACAGAATAAAATAAATATTTAATCGGGAGCTCTCATGCAAAACATGTAATTTTTTGCTCTATATTAATAATGGAAACAGGCAGACATTTGAAATATGCACAGGATATTTAGTTGTATATTTCACTTGAAAAATAAATAATTAAAATAGAATAAATATTTAAGGCAATCAAATTATACTATTGAATATATATTTTTTGCTCAATATTATAATAAAGTATCCAGTGTTGATATAGATAATGGTACAAAATCAATTGTGCATTGGTCCCACTCACACTCGGCCAGGTTATTTTTGCATATGCATTCATAGCTAAAGCATTTCTGATTTGGTTAGATTACTAACAAGATCCTACTACAAATTTATATCTGTTTCGACAATAACATACATTAACTGTAGCGTAAAAACCTTTCACCCCTTTTTTAGTATTTGTGTAAAAATATCATTTAATTCAACTTTTTCAGTCATGAATAACTGTGGTGACAACAAAAACCACATTCATGTGGGTTAAAACAATAGAAACTTACGCTTCAATTTTACGATTTAAAAAAAAAACTATATAAAAAAAATATTTTCTGTTTGAAAAAATATTTTTGTGTTGGATAGCGCATTTAAAGAGAAAGACTATAGGCTATATAACATCACGCTACGACCAGTAGCTGCGAAAACGGAAAAAGAAATCCATTTGTGAGCTTCCGTTGCGTGCGCTGCATAAACGGTTAAAGTTAAACAAAAATCATGTACGACGGAGTTGTTTATTTCCCTTTAAAAATTCTAAAAAAAAGTCCGTGACAGCATATTCCATCTTTTAAGTACGACTCACTATTTTTTCTCAAATTAATCACATTCATCGACTGTAAAGCGACACAAAGTTCTCCTGGTCAGCTAGTAACTTTATAAAGTTGATCTATATACTTTTTTTATACATTTATCGTGCGATCAGTCTTCTCGACTAAGAGCAGATTTGTTAATGGGGATATTGTGCATCCAACTTGTCTATAAAATGTCCGGGTTTCTGCGCTTTTTACCCGACTGCGCAATGCAAGAGCACGAAGCGCGACGCGCAGACAGGGTAAAGTGTTTAACAGTCTACATATGTATGTTTGTTCTTTTGTGGCACCTAGTGTGCCACAAAAGAACAAACATACATATGTAGACCAAACGCCTGGACCGATTTTGATGATTCATACATCAATCGATTCGTCTCAATCATGGGAGTGCTACTAATGATATGATAGTAATCAAAATTCAATATGGGGAAAAATAGGCGCCATATTGTGACGAAGTAAAAAAAATAAGTTGACAAAATATGTCGAGTGGGATATCATTGTCTAGATAATCGAAAATCATGTTTAGGTTCCTAACACCATTTTTCATTTTATGTCATTGTTTAGGATCTACAACGCTTTAAAGTTGTATAAAAACCACTTGCGCTTTTAATTTGAATCTTACGTTTGCATCGATCTTTGTTACTCTTTCACCTAAAAATACTGATTGGATTTTAATGAAACTTAACAGTAGCTCATATATGATAATAACATATATATAATAATGTAAGTAGTTATTGAGTGAATTGGCCAAAATATAACAATAAGTGTCACATAAGACGGAACAAAATCTCCCATCTGCGAGCCATTTTGGCCTGCACTGCAAAAACAATAAAAGTTACATGAATGTAATGTACAGTGAAAATGTATCTCTTAAATAGTTCTACAAAAAGTCCGTGACACCATACATCTATTTTTATGTGTAAGCCATTACCGCTAAAATAGTGCATCAAAAGTAAAATATTATTTGATATCTATTTCCAAAATGCACATTTTGTATTAACAAATTATTTTTTATCAAAACAAATACTTTTATCGCTTTTGATATTTAAAGACGATAAACTTTTCTTTTTAATCTATGTCATTTCGACAAATATTTAAAAAGTTACAACGATGACAAAGTGATAGCGCGGTGTACTATGTAGGAGTAGACTGAGGGAATACTAAGGCACGTATTACAGAATATCAACTAAGTGTTAATCTTTACTTGAGTACAGTTAGAAAGGGATGTCGCTATGTGCTATATGTAGTGACTTCCCTTTATAACTATGTTCAAGACTAGATTAATTACTGAGAATCTTTTTATAATACGGGCCTTACAGAATAAATTAATTTTTGTATTTATAAACGTAGATAAAACCTAGGCGAAAAAGAAAAAAATTGGGCTACTCGCAGTATCTAATCCTATACGAAGTATTTACAATAAAACTGTGATACAGTTCCTTCTTATTAAATGATGAAAAATAAATTATCATAATAGGTATTTATGATTATTGAATTTTAATGAAAAACTCAGAATTATTACCCATTATTGAAAAATATTATGTATTTTTGAACATCTAATGGGTCCCGTCTGTTAAAGTAGCTTTGTTCCTTATTAACAGAATTATAGACTACTGTACTTGTTTTTTTCTTTTCAGTTTTTATTTGAAGTATAATAAGCAGTCGGGTTTTTTGATTTTTTAAATTTACCTTGTTTTCAGACGTCTTACAGTATCCGGCAGTGTCAATAGGGATGATGACTATTTTTTTTTCTTCGTTTATCAGGTAGATTATCAAAAAGTATTGGACACGTATTTTTTCTTTTTTCACATAATATAAACACTGCAGAGATATATTGATTTGAAAAGTCGCATGACTTCACGTTTTGTTTCAATTTTCACTTAAAAGTGACGTCATGAGCCCCTACTCCCAAACTTTGACGCGCTGTAACTTTATCATGTTTTGGTTGATTGCCCAAAAAAAAAATACGTGTCCATTATTTTTTGATCATCTAACTGACGGACTAAATAGAATTTCGTTTACTGTACCCCGTCATCACCCCTATTATGTGGATAGTGTATTCGGGTGGTGATCTAGTCTATTCTTGTATTTATCAAGTTTATACGAAATTCACAGTGTTGATGCGAAGATATTGGTGAACTTCAGAGTATTGAATAAACCATGGGGTTACTTCACAAATCTGTTTAAGGTTATAATTCTGAGCTCTTTGAATTTTGTTGACGTTGCGTTGGTCACACTTGCCGATCCCGATCCGAAGATACAGCGACACTCCAGAATAAGACAGAGTAAATGTCTGCACAGATGCACATGTAAGGGAATCTCAGGAAATTTCAGGAGAATGTTGTTAATTATAAGGTCTAGATTAGAGTCTCTGTCATGTGTGAGCGCGTTGCGTTTTCTTCTGCGGAGATGCGCTACTGTGTATTTATTTTGTAGCACACCGTTTGGTTCGTCTCGCATGACGCGCAGTAATGTATGAATGGCCGGAGTTTTAAGTTTGTAAATATCTTTCAAAACAAAACGTCTCTTATGACGTAATTAATTGACCTAATATATTGAGCAGTGTAATATATATAGCAGTGTATACTAACTTGTATTGGTCAGATCAGCTAACATTATTGCAAAATAAGTCCTTACATTATTGAAACAACACACTGTGACGTTGTTAAATATAACAATATCGGGTCTCCGACAACAGTATTTCAGTATCTACTGAATATGGTTTAAATGTAGTTTAAGGCCAAGGTAGCTTCACCATAATAATATGCCACAGTCATCAATCGGTACGCGAACGCGCTCTTAATATTGATTTTAATAAAAAAAATGATACAGAATCGATAATTCCATTTTAAGGAATAGAAAGAAATCGAATAAAGGCCAAACCACGTCTAGGGAAAACAGCTGTCAAAAATTAACCAAACATTAAAAATGCCCGACTTTGTCATTTTATCATAAGCGAGAGACATGAGTACCAATACACGGCCATAAAAAAAACGAAAATCCAATATACGTAGCCCACAGAAATCTGAAATTCGCGATACTTTTTGAACAGACTGTGTATAATATAACCTTAAATAACGAGATAAGTGAAGTTTGTTTTTACGAAATTAATCAATGGACTACTGAACCGCTTCTGAACATTCTTAAACCATAAGAAAGGTATAGTAAGTATTTCTGAAAGATATATGAGTAATTTATCACCGTGTAAGAATAAATTTCACTTTTGAAAATCGCTAGTTAATATGTTTTGGCAACCCTTACATATACCGATGGAATAATGAGGTAAATTTAACTTTCCATTTTTGGAAAGATATAATACAAACAGTGCAAAGTACCAGTTACAAAGAACATTATCGCTTTTGTCTTAAGCGTCTTGAATTTTAAAACATTCACTCCCTAATTTACCGCCGAGTAATTGCGTTTTAATTATATCTTGAGCTTGTTTAGTATCATTTCGTATCTGAGTCAACTATTTTATTTACTTTGATAATTACTGCTTAGGCTGTAAATGTTTGGGGACCGGGCCCACCTGCCGTTCGCCTGTCGATCATTAACAAATATTTTGACTATAACTCTTTTGAAGCGTTTTCTTATACACCTGTAATGTTAATGATGCGTCATTTAATAACTTCGATATCTAAACTTTTTGCTATTAGCAGAGTCAAAATGTTAATTAAGTATGAAATAAGCAGAATCTATAAATATTATATTATCAGAAGTTATATAGATATATAAGAAAAGAATAGAAATGTAATGATCGTCGTCCTTATAGGCCACGATCGTACGACGATACGATGCGATCTCGTCGTGCGAAGAAAATAATCTTACGATAATTGTACAGGGATGTCCTAATA